TTCACCCTGGGGTTCCACACATAGGAGTTGCACAGTCAAGAAAGGTGACCCCTTAGGCGAGCCTGGGTGGGTGGTCTACATATCACGGACTGCTACGTTTAGTTGTGTTTGGGGAATGTACTGGGGAGGGTCATGCATTCAGGGGTGTCTGTGCAGGGACATGTATACTTGGGAGTTCTGAAAAATTTAGGGGGATCCTATACTCAGTCTGATGTGGGCAATGTGGGGTAGCGTGTCTGCTTACTGGTGATGCCCTCGGCCAGGATGTCCGACATCTTGCAGCAGGATGACAAGATGCGCATGCTGGGGTGGTCCATGATGAGCACCTGACGGGTGGGCGTATAGACAGGCAGTATAGACAGTGTATAGACAGGTAGGCTGAGAGGCTGCAGTTGCCCGTGGGGGGTTGGGGGGGGGCAGCCCCTCCTGAGAGCCTCAGGAACCAGCAAGATGGGAGGCCCCAGGATACCAGCCCCATCCCACCCCATCCACCAGTGGATCTCCTCTGAGTTCTCAGGGGTCCCACATTCAGGGTCCCCAACAGGGGTTTGGAGCAAAGCATCCGCCTCTCCTACCTTCCACTCCCCATCCTTTTTGACGCTCCGAATGACTCCGCTCAGAATTTCTGCAGGGAAGGGAGGGGTGGGCTCAGGATGCTGGTCCCCAGGCCTCATCACTCACTCCCTGCCTTCTTGGCCTGTGTGCTGGGCTCACTCCACTCACATTTATACCTCCCCCCAATCCTGTGAGTCCTGATGCCACCCACAGTTGACAGACAGGGGAACTCGGGCTCAGAGAGGACAGATGAGCAGCCCAAGCACCTAACTGGTCAAGCACTCTGAGTGTAAGTCAGCGCCACGTAAATGTGCTTTAGCTGGACCACGAAGGAGCCAGTGGAAAGCCAGGGACAGCTCGCAGGTCTGGGGCGGGGAGGGGAATTCCAGTTCTGCCTGGGAGTTTCACTGACAACCCCTACTCCACCTCCACCCGTTTCCCCTGTGCTAGAATACAGAGCCCCTGGATCCACTCTGAGGTTGCCTGGCTCCAGCCTCAGTTTCCTTATCTGGAAAATGAAGTAAGTGTCTTTCCCCGTCTCCCTGATAACCCCTGGTGTCAGGGGCTTTTTCAGCTGGGATGCCAAGGCTTTGGGCCACACTCTGCCCCGAGGAGGGAGGAGTGTGAAAGGGAGTGAGGGACGAGGTGGCCCCGCCTCCCAAAGTGTCATGTCCAGTCTTATCCGGACAGCCAGGGCGGAAGGAGCCTCTGAGGCCGGAACTGCTGGGGTGGGGGAAGAGGCGACCTCCACCCCTCCCCCAAGTACCCGGACCTCACGCCTACACTTGGGGGTGCTCACGACGCACGGGATTCTTGGGTACCTGGCTGGGAGGTCGGCGTCCCCACCCCCTGAACACGCGGCCGAGCGCACCCAGCCCTCCCACGGGGGCCCGAGCCCAGCCCTCCCGGCCACTGCCGGGCTCAGGGAGCAGCGCTTCTGGGCGTCCCGCCGCGCTGTCACACCCCAGCCCCGCGCCGGCACCCCAGGCGTCCGCGAGCTCCTTCCCGCCGCCCGCCTCCGCCACCCAGTCTGACCCCCTGGGTCGCCGGCCCAGCCTCCCAGGTCGTGTCGCTCCGGCGGAGAGAGCAGGGACGTCCCGCGGGCCCAGGTCCCAGCTCGTCCCCTCGAGGATCAGGTGACCGACCCCCTCGCCCCGGGAGTTCCCTGCGAAGAGGCCCAGCCCGGCCCCGCTCCCGTGGCCGGGGCCTCCGCGCCCGCGCGCCCAGGGGACGCGAGCTCCCAGCTCGGGGGGCACTCACTTTCCCCCACCACCGCCTTCAGCCCGGAGGGCGCCATCTTCCCCAGGGGCGCCGCCGCCGCTTCCGGGTCGGCCCAAGGTGGGGGCGGGGCCCAGGGCGCCTCCACGTGGGCCCCGCCCCGCCCCGCCCCGCGGCCGGCCCCGCCCCTGCGCACCTGGCCCCCCGCCGTCGCCTCCCCGCGGGGGCCGCGCGCGCGCCAGGTGGTCGCTGGGCACGGCCGGGGCGCACGGCCGGGGCGCGGACCCGCCCTTTCTCGTGTGCGGCGAGCGGGCCGCAGGGCAGGGGCTCCTCGGTCCTCCCCAGGCACAGCCCCGTGTCCGGGGGACACTGGACGCCCCGCGAGGCCCGATCCCGTGACCCCCCTGTACACCTGCACCTCGGCGTTCAGCCGCAGCAGCAGGCTTGGGAAACATTCCATCAACTCCAGAGCAGGCCTGGCGGTAAGCCAGCACTTGCTGCGGGCCGGGTCCTGACTCCGCCCTCCCAGAGGCTGGCAGGGAGTGCCCTTTCTGCCACTCCCGGGCTGGCGAATCCCAGGCTCGCGGACCCTCTGTCCAAGGCCAAGTGAAAACTGGGCGCACTAGGATTGAAATAGGAGTTTGTCCCAGGAAGAATACTTGTCACAGCCCATGTTTATGGGTGTAAACACGTTGGCATGGCCCGGCGATCCCATTTGCATGCCGATACACACATAGGGGGAGTGTCACGCGCAGCTGTTTGCACACACACCCATGCACCTCAGTCCATACTGGACTTGAAATGTCAGAGCTTGCTTTTGCTGAGGTACCATCTCCTGCCGGGCACAGTCCAACAGCACCCTACAGCTGCGGTCCCAGATCTAAAGGGTGATGCATGTGTGCAAATGCATAGTCCCGAAATACCTCAGTCTTGATTTCTTCATTTGGCTCTATTAAAAGTCAGCCAGGTGCCAGGCCCCTGTCACTTACTTGGGTAAGATGACAATGAATAGAAGGCCTGCCATGTGGCACTTAAAGTGGATGAGTCTGTGTGTGTGTGTGTGTGTGTGTGTGTGTGTGTGTGTGTGGTGGGGGTGATGGGGTGATGGGAAATGATCAATTCTGCCCCAGGGAAAATAAACTGCGGTGTGTAGCAAGCGCCACCCCAGGTGCTTTGTTGCAGGTAGCGCCAGAGGGGCTCCCTGAGAGAGTGGTCTTAGACTTAACCTTGAACAGCACCAAGGAGCAGCCAGGCAGAGAGGAGCAAGGAGATAAGCTTGGAGGAGTGGAGGGAAAGAGGGGAGCAGGGTAGGAGGCGAGAGTGGAGGGCTCAGAGGCCAGACTTCTGTGGAACGGCAGGGCTAGACCGTCCGGATTTGCCTGGGGCCGAGAAGTTCCTGGGGCGCAGGGCTTTCAGTAGTAAAACTGGGACTGTCCGGGGCCAACCAAGGTGGCGGGTGATCATAGGGAAGAGCTTGAGTTATCCTTTATTTTCCATGTTTCCCCTCCCTTCTTCCTTCCTTTCTCTTTGACAGCTCTACCGAGAAGCAACTCATCTACCGTACAGTTCGCCCACTGGCGACAATGCCATCCTAGCGGAATTGGGCACCCATGTCAATTTTACATTTCTCTTAACCCCAGGTGTGTTTTCTTGAGAATAGGGAGACCACTGAGCTAGGAAAGGAGGCCCCTGTAGCTCTTGGGGGAAAGGGCTGAACACTGGGGCAAAAGGGTGCATGTGGCTGGGAGACCTTGAGGAAGGTTTAGGCAAGTTGGAACCACCAGCGTTTTCCCAGCCTGACCCCTGGTGGTGAAAGTGTACAGAGCTGGCCACTCCCCACTCTCCTGGGCCGGGGGTGAGCAGGGGCTTCAACTGTCATGAGCTGAAGTGCTACCCACTCTGTACCCCTCTGTGCACACAAACCCCCCACCCCAACTCCTGCCTTGGATGATGAAGTCCTAATCCTCAGCAGCTCAGAATTTGATCTTATTTGGAAACAGGGTTGTTGCAGATGGAGCGAGTTCAGACTAGAGTGTGTCGTGTGTGTGTCTGGTGTCCACAGCTGACGGCCATGTGAAGACAAGGTTACCAGGGGAATGTCATGCTGTGACAGAGGCAGAGACTGAAGTACCGTAGCTACAAATCACGGAACACCAAGGACTGCCGGCAACAGAAGTCAGGGAGAGGCAGGAAGAAGGATCCTCCCCTACGGGTTTCAGAGGGAGCGTGGCCCTGACAACTTGATTTCAGACTCTGGCCTCCAGAAAAATTTACGAAAATAAATTTCTATTCCTCTATGCAATGCAGTTTGTGTTTCTTTGTAAAGGCAATCCTGGGAAATGAACCATCCATGCAGGAAGGAGCAGGGAATCATATTGGCATCCAGGACTTGGGGCCATGGAGAGGGTGTGAATGTGACCCCCAGATGGGGGAGGCCTGTGTGGGGAGACTGAGCTTTGCACTTAGACAAGGATGGTAACAGCGCAGTCCACTTGGCCCAAGAGGAAACTTTAACTGCTTCCAGAAAGGCATCTTGGGGTGTGAGTTGGGCCCCCCTAGGGGCCGCCTCTCCCAAGGTACTGAGGGAGAGCTGCTTGGAGGGGGAGCAGAGGCTTTCCTCCTTCTCTCTCACTAGGGTCCAACTTCCAGTTCTCAGGCAGGGCTGGGGTGACAGACGAGACTGGGCAGTGTGGCGGGGAGACAGGAGATGCGAGACCATGTCCTGGGTCCATGGAGGGCACAGGGACAGTGAGCAGAGGCTGCTGGGAGACAGTGATGGAGCTAGGCTGGCTGCTGGGACCTCGGTGATTCCCCTTCCCCTTCCCCCACAGACAGCAAATGCCTTTCCAGCAGGCATGGCGGGGGGGCGGGGTGGGGGCAGCTGGGTGACTTTTGGCATGGGAGTGGCAGGCTCTACCTGTGCTGCCCTGTTGGCCTGTCCTCTCCTGATGGGCCCAGTCAGCCCCCTCTCCACTGTGTGGTGCTGCTCTGGCCTGCTGCTGTACCCCACCTGAGAGTTCTTGGGGCCCCGTGACTCAGCCTACCTCCTACCCTCGTGACGAACAGGCATCGTGCTGCAAAAACAATGATCTGGATCATCTTTATGGGGCTTAAGCTTGGGTGGGAGCAGATGGGGCGTGAGCTGGGGATTTGGAGCTGGGGAGGGTATTCTGCCCGCCCACCTCCCAAATCCCCTACCACACAAACGTCCCAGTCTTTTAGAAAGCCTTCTCTGGCACAGGGCTGGGCAGAGACCAGCAGAGACGTGGACGGGGCCTGGGAAAGGGAGCAGGGACAATGACAGAGCAGGAAGAAAAGGTGGAGGATGGGGGCTTGGCCCCCCACATTAAGGTAAGCGGGCCCCGCTCCCTCAGCCTCCCCCTACCCAAGTCCTCAATAGCCTGTGCATGACGAGACTAATTAGTTTGTAGGCCACCTAGTTAGCGGGCGAGTCTCCTGGGACCTCCAGCCCAGTTGCAGCTCAAGGAGGTGCTGGCGTGAAATGGGGTCCAAGCGCTTGGTCCCAGCTCCAGGACAGAGGTCAGGGCTCACCTCCAGAGGTGGGGGACACGCTAGGATTTGGGGGTGGTCTGTTTCCCTGGATTGTGTCCCAGCCCCAGGCCCCTCCAGTCAGGCCCCAATCTAGGCTGGCACGAGGCTGGTACTGGCAGCCACTCCCTTGAGGTGGCACCACGTGAGCAAGCACTTCAGGCTGGGCCCCTGGGGTGGGGGCTGGGGTTGGGGAGGAGCCTGTGCCTCATTTGGAGCAGCTCTGCAGGGTACATTGGTGGAGGCTATGGTAAGAGCTGAGGAGGAAGGGAGTGCAGCCCTGGGGTGAAGGTGGGAGCCGGTGGGCCAAGAAAGCAAGAGGTCCCTGAGCTGAGGGGCTGCCTGGACCAAGTGTGTCTCTCCAGGCAGGCTCCCCAGACCAGGAGGGCTTCTTCAACCTGCTAAGCCACGTGCAGGGCGGCCGGATGGAAGAGCAGCGCTGCTTGCTGCAGGCGGAGCCGGGCCAGGCCTCCGAGAGCCGTAAGAGTGGGCAGGGGCGGGGCATGGGAGTGGGTATGCTGTCTGAGAAGTGGGGGTGAAGGGGGCAGGGTATACGGGTACAGAGTGAGTGGCCAGTGGAGGGGCAGAGAGGAAGAAATAAGCATCCTGGAGAGAAGGGAGGGCTGAGGAAGCCAGCTAGGCTGTGCCCCTGGAATCTGTATGTGTTCATCCCCATGCGCCTTTGCTCCACACAGAGAGTGGCCCTGCACCCGAGATGGACAGCTTCATGGACATGCTGGCCAGCACCCAGGGCCGCCGCATGGATGACCAGCGTGTGACAGTCAGCACCATGCCTGGCTTCCAGCCTGTGGGCCCCAAGGTAGGTGATGTTCTGTTGGGGCTGGGGAGAGAACAGCCAGGCTGAATGAGCTAACCCTGTCTCCCACCCTGGCCAGGAGTGAATAGGAACCCACACCAACCTCTGCTTTATCTGCCCCAGGGGGGTGAGAAGCTGGCATGAGAGCCCATCCTGTATCTCTATCAGTCACAGGACCCTGGTCAATCCAATCCCCAACCTCAGATGGTAAGACAAAGGTCCAGAGAGGGCCGAGAAGAGTGCAAGGTCGTGTTACTGTCAGAGCCGTGACTGGAACTCACAGCTCTTGCTCCCACATCTGAGGGTTTGCAAAGAGAGGATTGCTGAGGGAGGCTAGAGAGAACAGACATCCTTCCTGGGAAGACACCCCAGGGAGGGGAGCACGTGACTGCATGCAGACACATGTACACTTACATGTGTGTGTCTGTGTTACACATATAGCTTGGATTCTGATTAACTCTTCAGCCGATCCCCAAGACCCACCACCACATGCCCAAACACCACTGTACATGCGCAGTAGCTAAGGCATAAAGAAATGTGGGGCTGGCATGGGCAGATGACAGGGGGCCAGACGTGGGTGGCCGACTGCACCCTCCCCTCCAGTGTTCGTGTCACCTCTGCCAGGAAACTGCCCTTGACCCTGCCCTCTGGCTGACTCTTCTTCATCCACAGGATGGAGCGCAGAAACGACCTGGAACCCTCAGCCCTCAGCCCCTCCTCACCCCGCAGGACCCGGCTGCTCTCAGCTTCCGTCGGAACAGTAGTCCCCAGCCCCAGACACAAGCGCCCTGAGGGCCTGGGCCATCCTGGGTCCTGTGTGGCCCCTGAAAGCAGACAATAAAACACTCCCACACGCAACAAGGAACTGAGTGTGTATTATTTCACAGGTAGGGGGGTTAAGACTCAGAGGCCTCAGGACCTCTGCTGGGCAGCTCGTAGCAGTTTCTCCTCCCGTTGCTTCCGTATCCTCTCTTTGAATTCTTCTAGCTCTTGGCGCTAGGGGTGAGGTGGGAAGTGAGATGGGAAGGAAGGAGGGGCACACACACCTCAGGGCCTGGACCCTTCACCCACCACCCTGCCCTTCGACATCTCCAGGTCATGGCTTCAGAGATGAGCATCCACACTGGAAGCCCTATGCCAGTTTCAACCAGAGTCTGAGTGGGGTCAGCTTCATGCTTCAGGGAGAGGGTAATAAGGAAGCCACATGTTCCTCTGCACTTAGTTCCCTGTTCATGGTGGGGGATGTCATTTTCATTTGAACCCATCCAGACCCCTCTGTTCATCTGTTCCCAGCAGTGGGCTCTACTGCCAAAGCTGAGGAAGATGGGAGGAAGAGCAGGTCACTTACCTGGTCCTCCTTCTCAGGTGGCCATAGCTCCCTCTGTGGGGACAAAGTTACAGCTAGAGACCTGACTTAGAAGCCTCCATAGCCCCAAACCCAGGGCAGGTCAGTGCATGGGAGGCAGACATGGGTCCCCAGCAGGTTGGTGCCCCTCTCCACCCGCTAGAATGAGCCCATGAACACACCCCGTGCCCACCTTGCGCTGTATGACATAGTCCTCAAACCACTCGGCCTGATTGGCAACCCAGAACATAGCCACAGGAAACGTGAGATAGAGAGTCATCTGGAAGGGCAGGTAGGGCATGAGCCGAGCCAGGGTTACCATCCTCCCCACTGTGCACGTGTTGCCATAGCCAATGGGACCATCCTCCTGCAAAGCCCGGGAGCTCCTCCTCTGAACTCCCATCAAGCCACACACCTTAAATTATAGTTCCTGTAATCCAAATCACCTTATTCCTGAAAGCCCCCTCCAAGTCTCGCAGACTCCCTCTCAAAAGAAGACAGACAAAGGGCCTCCCCTGGTGGCGCAGCGGTTGAGTGCTGGGCTGCGAAGCTGCCCGCAGCCTCTGCTGCGCCGGTTCAATCCCCGGCCGCCGGCAAGGGTCCCACGTGGCCGGACAGACCTCTCCTGTCTCGCCCACTGCTCCCCGCAGCAGTGTATTTCGTCAATCTGCCTGTTCTGTTCCCCGCTCTGGCTCTGGTGAATTCTCTTACCCTCCCGCGCTACTGACTGTACCCAGTGCTTGTATAAATATATAAATAAATCTTTAAAAAAAGAAGAAGACAGACAGACAGACACAGGCGAACACATCGGCCAGGGAGCACAAGCGCTCCTACTACAATCAAAGGCCTCTTTGGGATCTTACTGCCTGCTCCCCAAATCAGACCCTGGAGGCACCCCAAGTTCAGGGGACCTCACACTTGGTTCCACTCTCTAAGGCCAGGGGTCTCCCTACCAGAGACACCCACCCACCCTGAGCCCAAGCGCTCCCACAGAGCCTGAAGCCTTTTTCAGAGCGTCTCCCCAGATCACCCTTCTGAGAGGCCTTCCTCACACCGACCCTCCCAGAGTGCCGCTAACCCTAGGTCCCCTCCTCTGTGTCTCCAACCATAAAAGCCCCTCTCAAATCTCAGGAGCTTGTTCCGCAGGGCGCCCTCTCTTTGGAGTCCCTCCTTTCCAAAACCTCGTCCTTAGATCCAGGAAGACCCCTTAGTGCGACGCGACTCCGGTGCTCACTGACCCGAAACACCTCCAGCTTCACTCCCATTTCGCTCCTTCGAGGCAACAAAGTCGTTTCCGCTCACAGGCAACCCCCAGCTGGACAGCAGCTCATTGGGATTCCGCCGCTACCTAAGTTGATTGGTTGGGGCGCTCCAATACAACGTCATCACCGGGAGCCGTTCCTGGGCTTCCGGTCGCCAGTGTAGCTCAATTGAACGGCAATAAGGCGACCCGCGCGTCTGCAGGGCTTAGCCAATGGGGAATGGGGCATCTCGGGGAGGGGGGCGGGCCTTCAGCGCCAACGTCACTAGGAGGCGACGCGAGCTCGCACTGGAAGCGCCAGGAAAATGGTGGTGATGGCGCGGCTCTCTCGGTCCGAGCGGTCGGACCTCGTCTTCGTAAGTCCGCGGCAGGGCGGTGGTGCCCACTTCGGGGGCATCGGGGCACGGATGCAGAAGGGTATCGGGTCTGGCCTCTCGGGAGATCTAGGCTAAAGCTCTGTCTGCCTGAGGCCTGACGGGCCCGAGGCCGGCTTGTGATGGCCGGACCAGGCTGGCCAGGAGTAAAGGCCCGGTGCGTGAACCGACGCCGTGGTTTCCTGCGTGAAAAATTGTTGTCAAGTTAAGGGTTTGACGTCCCGGTCCTGGGGCGGAAATGAGAGCGTGCGCAGAAGGAAGAGAGATTCTCAAATGTAAATATTGAGATGCCTGATAGCTGCATTAAAATCTTTGCGACCCGGTCAGGACTCCAGTTTTTATGGTAAAGTGTTGGTGTGCTGGGTAGCTACCCAAGTGTGGTCCTGAGCATTACAGCTTCTGGGGTAAAGACTAGGTGTATGGCGAAGAAATAAAGGTCCTGTCTGTGGAGCTGGTCAGGTGATGGCCGGTAGGTTCTGAAGACTCAAGGCCTTGTGTCTGTTTTAGATGACTGGCACCTTCACTAGATTCTTGACATCTAGGTCGAAAGACTTGATCTGGTCCATGAAAGTCTAGCTTGTCAGTTTTGGGGCAGAATTGAACTAACCTCTGGCTAATCAGAGCCTGCGAGTCAAAGACTTGGTGTCTGGGAAGAGGCGTGTTGTGAGAAGACAGAGCTCTAGTGCCTGAGCTAGGACCCTGGTATCTAAGAAGTATGGTGAACCTGGCCCACAGTCAGTAGTGGGATTCAGAGGGCCAAAAGGCAGATGTCCAACTGACAGTCTCATGTGCAACCTAGAACTCTGTGACTGATGGTCAGGATCAGGGTGTGAGCTGTAGAATTCTGAGGCCTAAAAATCTGGTTTCTGGGCATTTGGTAACTTGGCTGCAGTGGTGGGTAGTAGGATCTGGGTCCTGGGTTTGGAGTGGTGCTGTGCTGGGGCTCTGAGGTCTCTTCTCCCCATTCCCGACTCCAACAGGAGGAAGAGGATCTCCCCTATGAGGAGGAAATCATGCGGAACCAGTTCTCTGTCAAGTGCTGGCTCCGCTATATTGAGTTCAAACAGGGTGCCCCGAAGCCCAGACTCAATCAGTTGTATGAGCGGGCACTGAAGCTGCTGCCCTGCAGGTGGGAACTGCTCCATCTGCCCTGCCTGCCTCACCCCATATCCCCCTTGAGCAGTCATAGCAAAGCTGGCAAATAGGCCCCAGGTGATAGCTGTTGTATCCTGTCACCAAGTAAGCATCCCCTGATAGGTTAGCATCTCTCTCCTGACGTCCCAGTCCATCTCCCCATGGCTGAGATTTGTGATCCATTCGTGGGTCCCCCTTCCTAGCCGTTGCCTCCTGGGACAGAGGAAGGGCTCTAGGGCTTGGTAGAGTTGGCCAACCACTGTCTGCCCTCCCTCCCATTCCCCAGCTACAAACTCTGGTACCGCTACCTGAAGGCACGTCGGGCACAAGTGAAGCACCGCTGTGTGACTGATGCTGCCTACGAAGATGTCAACAACTGCCATGAGAGGGCCTTTGTGTTCATGCACAAGGTGGGGAGCTGGGCCAGTGGATGAGAAGTTGGGGCTCAGAGTCCAGGAGATGGAGAAGCAGGGGGTTGGAGTCCTGGTACCTCTGTCCACTCAAGGTTGAATTAGACTTAGGCCTGGAGGAAAGGGGTTCTGTGTCTGGCTGCATTCTTGGCCGTAGGACAGCTGATGTCTTTGTGGCAAGGCCATGTGTCAGCCCCTCAGACCTGCCTGCCTCTCCCCACACCTTCAGATGCCACGACTCTGGCTAGATTATTGCCAGTTCCTGATGGACCAAGGACGCGTCACCCATACCCGCCGCACTTTTGACCGTGCCCTCCGGGCGCTGCCTATCACACAGCACTCTCGTATTTGGCCCCTGTACCTGCGCTTTCTGCGCTCACACCCACTGCCTGAGACAGCCGTGAGAGGCTACCGGCGCTTCCTCAAGGTAAGTCCATCAGGTGGGCAAGGCAGGGCCAGACTGAAGCAGGTGCCTTATTCCACAGATTAAGAGTTTCCAGAAACCAACTTGTTGAGACACTAGCCCTATATAGAACATCACCTAAGAGACAGGGTGTGGAGAAAAGCCCTTTGAGATAAATTTTTGTTTATGATTTGTCTGTTCTCCTGCTCCACATCAGTATTCAGGCAGGTGCCATGGTTAGGGTGACTAAGGCGTTCTCCGCCTGCATGAACTTTTAGTGTAATTGGGTGGCAACTGTGTGTGAGCTGACCACATAAACCAGAGTAAAACTGCAACCATGGGTGGCTAAGGAATGTGTAACAGGCAGAGTTGAAAATTGAAGTGCAAATACGGGGAGGTGTGTGCAGATTTCTCAAACTTGCAATGTCTGTAACAGGCTGTGAACCCTTTACCATGGTACTGCCTGGGTGGAGGACAGGTGTTGAAAGCAGGGCTGAGCTGTGCAGCCTCAGTCATCCGAACTTAAGCCAGACCAGGAAGGGGTGGGGATGGAGCAGTGGGCATGTGGATCAGACCATGTGGTCAAGGCTGGACCTATTAATGATTGATGCTGAACATGTGGGCCAGGCTGGATGGGCCACTGGGGCCCGGGCTGGACAGATGTGGCTAAGACTGGGTCAGTACTGCTGGCTTGGCCACAATAGGGTGAGTGGATGACTGCAGGCCTGGAGCCACGGAGTAGGGAGGGGAACATGGTGGTGTGCCCCTGCAACCCCACTGATGGCTGGTGGGGTTGGCCGGTCCCCAGCTCAGCCCCGAGAGCGCAGAGGAATACATTGAGTACCTGAAGTCGAGTGACCGGCTGGATGAGGCCGCGCAGCGCCTGGCCACCGTGGTAAATGATGAGCGCTTCGTGTCCAAGGCCGGCAAATCCAACTACCAGGTGGGCCTGCGGGGGGCAGGAGGACTCATGTGTGCCCCATCCCCCTTTGGGGACCTTGGCTGAGGCTCCTTCCTTGACTCCTGCAGCTCTGGCACGAACTGTGTGACCTCATCTCCCAGAACCCAGACAAAGTGCAGTCACTCAATGTGGATGCCATCATCCGAGGGGGCCTCACTCGCTTCACTGACCAGCTGGGCAAGCTCTGGTGCTCTCTGGCTGACTACTACATCCGCAGTGGCCACTTTGAGAAGGTTGGTGGGCATACGGGGTGCTGGGTAGGGGTGAGGGGATGCATGTAGATGTGTGAGCAGAAAATACATGCAGTGTGCAGGCCCTGCACTCATATGTGCCTGCAGTTTAGGTCTGCTGGGGTGAGGCGAGGTGGGAGAGGTACGCCCACTGTGCGGTCAGTCAGCCGTGAGTTTTCCCTGGCTCTACAGCCCTGGACTCACTAAGCCTGGGTGTCTTCATTCACAAAATAGGGATGACAGTGTCTCCCTCATCTGCTAGGAATCAGGCGTCAAGCAGGTGCCTGTTGTGAGGGTCACTCCTGAGTTGTTGCGGTTACCGTCAGTGTCTGCATTGGCTTGCTTTCATCATAGGGCAGTCGTGTGGCAGGCTTGGGTGGTGGGGTGTGGGGGCTCTGAGAGGTCTCAGAAGCTGGCTGGGGCTATACAAGAGACCTTGGGGAACACAGGAGCAGAGGCTGGGAAAGGGAGGTGGTGCTGGAGTGGAGTGAGGGAGCTGGTGGGACTGAAGGGTTGGGGAACTAGGGAGCTTTGCAGGCCAAGGAGGGGCGGCTGTGCTGCCAGCTGGGCATGAGCAGGTGTGCATTTCACAAGGCCCCGCGGGCCCTGCTTAGAGCAGAATGCATAGGCCAAAGCTGTTGACAGACCAACCAGGAGGCTGCTGGTGCCAGAGGCCAGGTGGAGGCAGGAGCAGGGCCACTCAGGGATGGGTGGAGAAATGAGGCCCAAACTTGGGGATTAGGGGAGACTGAAGCATGTGAGCTGGAGAAGGGGAGCAGGCCAGCATTAGGGCTGCTTTGCAGCCACCAGGGAGCCCTCTGGCCAAGCTGCAGAGTGGATCTGCAGGGTGGATCTAGGGGAGGCTGGTGGCTGATCACCTGTGGGCTTCCTGGGTGTCAGGAGCTGTACACTGCTCACCCATGCCTCAAGGTGACCTGCGCTGTCACTCAGTTTACTGAGGGAGAATCGAGGCTCCAAGATCCCTCCGGCAGGGAAAGGAAGGGAGTGCACAGGGGAAGGCCCCACAGGGGTTGTGTTTTGGGGCCGGTGCTAAGGACGGTACTGCCAGGTGCCCCGTGGCTGTGCAGTGGGTGCGCACACCTCCCCCACCAGACTCCCTCTTACCTCTCCACAGGCTCGGGATGTGTATGAGGAGGCCATCCGCACTGTGATGACGGTGCGGGACTTCACCCAGGTGTTTGACAGCTACGCCCAGTTCGAGGAGAGCATGATTGCAGCTAAGATGGAGACCACCTCAGAGCTGGGGCGGGAGGAGGAGGGTAAGTCCCAGGACTGGTGGGGACAGAGGGCTGGGTGGTCTGAGGGGTGGGGCAGAAATGAGTGGCTGGGTAGGTGGTCCTGGGGCCAGACTAAGATCAGGATGGGCCTGGGCAGCAAAGGATGGGGCCAGCAGGGAGGGAACGCAGCAAGTCCCGTCAGGCCCAGAGCCCTGGACTGGAGACCAGAAGGGAGAGGACTGGAGACAGAGGTGACTGGAGTCCTCTCCCTACTCCCTGTCCTCATTGTGGGCCCCAGACGACGTCGACCTGGAGCTGCGCCTGGCCCGCTTCGAACAGCTCATCAGCCGGCGGCCCCTGCTCCTGAACAGTGTCTTGCTGCGCCAGAACCCACACCATGTGCACGAGTGGCACAAGCGTGTGGCCCTCCACCAGGGTCGCCCCCGGGAGGTGCGTGATGTGCCCGCCACCTCACCTACCCCACCCTTGCGGCCAAGGCCCGACCATCGAGCCTGATTCACCCTTCCTGCCCAGATCATCAACACCTTCACGGAGGCCGTGCAGACCGTGGACCCCTTCAAGGCGACGGGCAAGCCCCATACCTTATGGGTTGCATTTGCCAAGTTTTACGAAGACAACGGGCAGTTGGATGATGTGAGTGCCCCGCTGTGTGCATCTGTGTGTGCGTCATGTGTTGTGAGTACAGATGTGTCTGTGGTCAGAGGGCCCGGGAGGCACGGACATGCTCATGTTTGTGTAAGTGTGCGTGGCCTTGTGGGAGCAGGGGTGTCAGCCTGACCCTGCCCGCCTGGCAGGCACGCGTCATCCTGGAGAAGGCCACCAAGGTGAGCTTCAAGCAGGTGGACGACCTGGCGAGTGTCTGGTGTGAGTGTGGCGAACTGGAGCTCCGGCATGAAAACTATGACCAGGCTCTGCGCCTGCTACGGGTAAGTACCAGCCTGGGCTGGGGCAGGGGTTGGGGGGGACTGTGGGCGCCGCCAGGGCCAGGGACACTCCCCAAGCACCCCCCTGCCACCGTCTCCTCATAGAAGGCGACAGCACTGCCTGCCCGCCGTGCCGAGTATTTTGATGGCTCGGAGCCCGTTCAGAACCGAGTGTACAAGTCGCTGAAGGTGTGGTCCATGCTCGCCGACCTGGAGGAGAGCCTGGGCACCTTCCAGGTGAGCTGTGGGGGGTGGCCCTGCCGTGTTGGAGGGGTTGGTGCACCCACTCAGCCCCAGGCCACATGCCAACCTGCCCCCGCCCGCAGTCCACCAAGGCCGTGTATGACCGCATCCTGGACCTGCGCATCGCCACCCCCCAGATCGTCATCAACTACGCCATGTTCCTGGAGGAGCACAAGTACTTCGAGGAGAGCTTCAAGGTGAGCGGGGCCATGTGGATGGTGGTGCCCTGCCCATGCTCCTCGCCCGCAGTGTTAGGGAGCTGGGGCGGGGCTGCTTGAACAGCAGGGGTGCATCTTCTTGCAGTGGTGGAAGTTGGGCGCCCTGAGGTCAGGGCGTTGGCACGGTTGGTTTCTTCTGAGGCTCTCTCTTGGCTTGTAGACAGACACCTCACTGCCCTCGCACGGCTGTCTCTGTCTGTGCTCGTTCTGGCATCTCCGTGTGTCCAAATCTCTCATTATAAGGACGCCAGTGGTATTGGAATAGGGTCCGCCCTAAAGAACCTACCTCCGAATAGTCACAGTCTGAGGTACTGGGGCGAAGCGTCAGCATGAATTTGGGGGCATGCAAGTGCAGCCCATGGTAGGCACGTAGTCCCTTGTGTGTGTGTGTGGGGGGCGGGGTGTTGGTGTGTGCAGGTGTCCTGCTTACCACTCAGCAACACATCACAGGTATGTGGAGTATTCACGTGTGTGCGGCGAGACCCTGCCCCGTTGGCTGTGGCGCTTTACACGTGCACGTGCGCTGCCCCTACCTGAAGTCCAGGCTCCCCTCCCTCGGCCCGGCGTCCGGTACCTGCAGCGCTGAGTCCACCCTTGCACCAGCTGCAGACATGAGTTCTAGGCCGGCATCATCCTTGAAGTTGAGCTGGCAGCATATAGTCCCTCTTGACTGCTGTGAGGCAGGAGGTACAGGGAGCTAGTTGGGGGACCGACAGAGATGGGATCCATTTGCTGAGCCCCATAAGAGACAGGAAGAGTGTCCTGGCAGGTCGGGTGCCGGGTGGTCGCACCCTGTGGACTCACACAGCTGCCTCTCGGACAGGCGTATGAGCGAGGCATCTCGCTGTTCAAGTGGCCCAACGTGTCTGACATCTGGAGCACCTACCTGACCAAATTCATCGCCCGCTATGGGGGCCGGAAGCTGGAGCGGGCGCGGGACCTCTTTGAACAGGCCCTGGACGGCTGCCCTCCCAAATACGCCAAGAGTGAGGAGGCTGGGCGGGCTCCGGGGAGGGGGTGGGGAGGCAGTGTGGGCCCAGCCGCCGCCTGCTGACCCCCTGCCCCCCGTCCCGTGTAGCCCTGTACCTGCTGTACGCGCAGCTGGAGGAGGAGTGGGGCCTGGCCCGGCACGCCATGGCCGTATATGAGCGCGCCACCCGCGCCGTGGAGCCCGCGCAGCAGTACGACATGTTCAACATCTACATCAAGCGGGCAGCTGAGATCTACGGCGTCACCCACACCCGCAGCATCTACCAGAAGGCCATCGAGGTGCCCACAGCTGGGACATCTGAGCGTGCCTGCGTGTGGGGCCAAGAGGGGGCATGTGGGGGCCCAGGGCCACCCTGATAGGTGGACGCCACCCGAGCGCTCAGCCAGCCCTCTATGCCCCGCGTCCGCAGGTGCTGTCGGATGAGCATGCCCGGGAGATGTGCCTGCGGTTTGCAGACATGGAGTGTAAGCTTGGGGAGATCGACCGTGCCCGGGCCATCTACAGCTTCTGCTCCCAAATCTGTGACCCCCGGGTAGGACTGGATCCCCAGACGGGTGGGTGGGTACTGGGAGGCTTGGCCCCACAGGCCAGCTCATGTCACCGCTCCCTGCAGACGACTGGGGCTTTCTGGCAAACGTGGAAGGACTTTGAGGTCCGGCATGGCAACGAGGACACCATCCGGGAGATGCTACGGATCCGCCGCAGCGTGCAGGCCACCTACAACACGCAGGTCAACTTCATGGCCTCACAGATGCTCAAGGTGTCGGGCAGCGCCACAGGCACTGGTGAGAGCTGCGGGTCAGCCCGGGCCCTGGCTGGGCCTACCCTGAGGTGACCCGGTCCCAGTCTTCAGGGCCTGTCACCCTGCCTCGGCCCTGGGCACCACCTTGACCTCTTGGGTGTGGGAGCCTGGAGGTGCAGTTGTGCTACCCCCACTTCAGGCTAGCTCTTTGATGGTGGGGGGCCCAAGGGTGGACAGGGCCGGGTGGGTGTCGAGAGGACCCATCCATAACGTCTGATCCCTGTGCCCCCGTCAGTGTCTGACCTCGCCCCTGGGCAGAGTGGTATGGATGATATGAAGCTGCTGGAGCAGCGGGCAGAGCAGCTGGCAGCGGAGGCCGAACGGGACCAGCCCCCGAGGGCCCAGAGCAAGATCCTGTTTGTGAGGTGAGGGCGGGGCTGGCAGGCCTGGGCAGGGAGCCAGCTCTTTGTCAGGAAGGGAGGTGCTAGGGAGACAGTCCTGAGCGGTGGCCCTCTCCCTCCCCAGGAGTGATGCTTCACGGGAGGAGCTGGCTGAGCTGGCACAGCAAGCCAACCCAGAGGAGATCGAGCTGGGTGAGGATGAGGATGAGGACGAGATGGACCTGGAGCCCAATGGTGAGGGGGCCACCCAGCACGACAGTGTGTGGGGGCGGGGCAGGGCCAGGAACCCATCCTGGAGAGTGACGGTGTTTTCCTGCCTGCCCACAGAGGTGCGGCTGGAGCAGCAGAGTGTGCCAGCCGCTGTGTTTGGGAGCCTGAAGGAAGACTGACTCCCCCCCACCCTCCACGCCCTAATGAAGCCTTCATTTTTACATCATGGTCTGAGCCTCCTTCCTTCCTGCCTACCCTTTCTGCTGCCCAGGTGCCCATAGGGATTGCTAGCTCAGTAATGCCGTGGCCCTGGGCCAGACTGCCACCCCTGCCCCCAGATTGGCTGGTGTGGGAGGTGGGGCATCTGGGCTCCAGGCCAAGGCGTATGCCCCACCCTCACCCGTCAAGCCAGTTCTGGACTCCGAGGCCAGTTTCTGCTGTTTTGAGTACTCCTTGAGCCCCAAGTTCATGTTTGGGGGGTGTGCCTTGCCCCCAATTGCCCAGTTCTCACTAACTTTCGCCCCTAAGGCCAGTCCACCCTGTCTACCCATTTTCCCCTCTAAACACCCTTTCTCCCTGGTCAAAAGGACCCATCTCCCAGTGGGAGAAGATAGGCCAGAGCGCTTTGGAGGCAGGCCCTACTTTCTACCCCTGGGCTGTGGCCAGGAGCTAGACCAGCTGTGGGCCTCAGCCCGGGTGTGGCCTCAGTCTTAAGCTCTGGGAAGCCACGATCAGGCTCTGAGCTATTAAGGAATTTTAAGCGTTGAAGGGCATAATCAGATTTGTGCCCTGATCAGGTCACGCAGGCTGCCGTGGAGGATTGATGTGGGGAGGCCTAGATCGCCGGCTGGGGTGGTCAGGGGGGCAGAGGGACGTGAGCTGGAAGAGGGCTTGCGCAGTGTTGGTGGCGTCAGGGGAGCTCGTCCCGTGCCTAGCACACCTCAGCCACCGGGAGAGCCGGTGGCGTAGGTCCTACCTGAGATGTCCAGTGTTTTCTGCCAAGGAGGAAGCCGGACCCTCAGATGTGGAGCCTAGAGGAGACACAGTGGGGATCCCTGTCCTGACACGGTCACTGAGCCCAGAAACAGGGCGGGCGACTAGAGCGCGCGAGTGTAGCGTTGGCCCAGGGCCCGGACCAGGAAGGCCAGCAGCCACCCCGGAGCGGGGAGGGAAATGAGGCAAGTGGGGGCTGGCCTGCGGCCTCGTGTGGCTTAGGGGCAGCTGAGTAGCAGTCACGGGCACTGGCAGGGACGTCGTGCCAGACCTTGGCAGAAGTGGTATCGGGGCCCTGGAGGGGAGGTGGAAGAGAGACTGGAGGGGTTCAGCAGAGAACAGAGACGTAGCCAGTGGGTGCGGAAACCCGGAAGCAGCGAGGTCGCGCGACCCAGCCCGCCCCCGGAGCTGACAGCGCTCGAGCTCTCTTTAAATTATTTTATTCAAGAAGGCAGGAGGACAGACAGGGGACTGAGCTGAGCCCTGAGTCCCTGAACCTCCCAGCTCAGCCCCCACAGCAGGACAGGACAAAAATTAAGGGGCGGGGTCTCCAGCCCCACCCAGACAAAGTTGGGGACAGACAGGACCCAGGAATACCAACTGTCCTCCAGGAGGGCGATGGCCGGAGCACGCGGGGCCCGGCCTGCGGACCACCCAGGACGGAGCTATTTGGGGGTGTTGCCACCCTTCTTGGGAGTCGTGGGTTTCTTGCTCTGCCAGAGGTGTCCCTGGATAGTGAAGGCATCCACGCTCATGGACATGGTCTTGGCAGGGATCTGAGTGAAGCGCTTGCGGTCCGAGTTGTACTTGTAGATGCCCTCGACCATGGCGGGCGTGACCGTGCGCGGGCCGTAGCCTGTCAGCCGGGATAGCTCCTCCGTCTCCCCTGACAGCGTGTAGAGGGCCCGGAACTGGCAGCTTGAGTCCCGGAAGAGGATCAGGAAGTGGTTGGCCTTGCTCTTCTCAATTTCCTGGTGGGCAGAAGCGGTCAGCCAGGCGGCGGGCCACCGGTGTCCCGCCAGCCCCCCTCGCCGGGCGGGCTTACCTCAAGGATGCGGTTTTTCTGGGGCTCGTTCACCTTGCCCGCCAGGCAGCAATGTGACAGGGCGTTGTGGATGATGAACTTGTTGGACTTGGCGCTGGGCTCTTTGTACAGCCGTGGGCCTGAGGGGCGGGGCTGTCAGCCGGCACAGCTGGGGAACTGGGCAGCCCAGGGGTCACCCCCGAAGTCCCACCTACCTGTGTACTCAGGCACTGATGCAGGGGAGGAGGCGTTGCTGCCATTCTCCCAGTCGCGCTCGCGGCTGCCGGGTAGGCGGCTGGGGGACATGAGGCCAGATGGGGAGGGAGCCCTGGGGGGAGCGGGTAGGAATGTGATCAGGGGTGGGGGGAGTTAAGCCAGACACCCTGCCGAGCAGGCGCTGCACAGGCACGGGCACTCCATGCTCCCGACCCACACAGCCCTTGTGCAGCCCCGTCCTCAGTGAGACAGGCGCGCTGGGCGCAGAGGAGCACATGGCTCCAGTTGCACACGCGCACCCGTGTCCTCCCGCTGGCAAGGCAGGCTGACCACAGCAGTCAGAAGCACCTACCCAGGGCAAACTCACCGAGACGTGGGCCTCTTCACACCTAGGTTATTGGGGGCCTCGTTGGCCACGGTTGACAGCGACAGGGTGGACTGTGAATAGACCTTGCTGAGTCGAGAGCCTGGGAGCAGAGGGTATTGGGTCAGGCCCCACCCGAACACCCCTAACCTCCGCAAATGCCCAAGGGGCCTTAACCTGGCAGGCTGTGGAGGGAACACGGGCTCAGCCTGGGCCAAGAACCTCACCCCATGCAGCTCCCACTGGGAATCTATCCCCCCAACCCCTGCAAAAAAAAAAAAAAAAAAAACAGCCCAGGGGCCTTCATCCATTAATCCATGGAGAAAACAGCTGTGCCCGTCACGCCTAACCCCACTGCACACCCCACAGCCTTCTCAGGCGCTTACCAGGCAGGCAGGGGACAAAGGCCCCTAGCACCCCATACGCCTAGCCCCACTCTACCCCTGCATGTATAGCCTCCCGCTCCCCATGTACTTGGGCTGGGGGGAGGGAGTGGCTCACCCAGTAGGCCTCGGGCTGGGCTGCGCGCCAGGGCGGAGTCATCACAACAACCGGAGCGTGGCCGGGGGGCCCTCCGCCCGCCCCGACCTGGCCCCCCGGACCCTGAGGCCCGCGGCCGCAGCACCTTATCCAGGTCATCCATCAGCTTCAGCTGGGCCCGCCGCTCGTACTCAAGCCTGGTGAACTCCCCCCGCCTGGGGCCCACCTCCTCCTCGGCTGGGGCCCGAGCAGCAGGGGCGGCAGGACCTGGGGGCGCTGGGGCGCCAAGGACCGCCTCTTCCTGGGCCAGCCTGAAAATCAAGGGGAGTCAGGCAGTCAGGTGCATCACGGGGTCGCTGGGGCAAGGGTCCGGGGTCGGGCCCAGGCTCACCGGGCAGCCTCCTCCCTCCGCTGCTCCTTCTCAGCCTCCTGCCACTGCTTCCGCCGCCGCGCCTCCTCCGCCCGCCGCTGCTGCCGCTCCAGCAGGCTGGCCCGCTTTTGGGCCATCTCATCCTCAGGCTTGTCTTCATCCTGGGGGCAGGACCGAGGCCAGCTGCCATCCCTTCTCTAGTCTGGCCCCAGCAACGCGGCCTGCCTGCTGCTCACGGCCCTTCCTTTTCTGTAACTGATCTGAAGGCACTCGGGGCCTGCGCTGCGCACCCCCACCCGGGTCTGGCCGGCCTGGGCGCCGCTCACACAGCCCAGCAGCGACCACCAGCAGAAGCAGCTGCTGCCACGTGGGCAGGAGCCTATCCCAGCCGGGAGGCACCAAGTGGGGCTTCCTGGAGGAAGCAACTACAGAGAATGGGTAGGGGTAAGGGAAAGGAGAGCCTCCCAGGCAGAGAAAAGAGCAGCACAAGCATCCCACGGCCAGGATGAGTTCGGGGTGGCCAGAGCCCAGGCCGTGGGGTGGACTCCCAAACCACAGAAGGGGACGAGGGGGACAAGGTCCAGTTTGCAGTTTTCAAAAATGCTCACTTGGCCAGGGATTGGGGGCGGGGGAGAGGCTAGTCAGGATGGAACTGCAGGTATCCAGGCAGCCCCGCTGGGCAGCCGCAATGATGGGGGTGAGCGATGAGACAGAGGAGCGGGGAAGGGGAACCCTAAAGCCAGGAGGGGCGGGGTGCCCTGGACCGTCCACTCACCCCATCCAGCCATTCCTCTACCTCTAGCCACCCACCCCCTTTGTCAATCTGTCAGCCGCTCTCGTTCACCCACCCGGCCACGCACCTGCCCAGCTATGGGAAACGCCCTATCCATCCGCGCCCCCCCAGCTCCGTGACTACCCAGCCAGCCGCCTGGCCCTTCTCCCCCACCTCAGGCCACACTCACCTTATAGAAGAACCCCAGTCCAGCGCGGGGCTCCCCCTCGGAGGAGGCCTCTTCCTCCAAGGAATCCTCAGCACCGGGGGGGCTCCCTTCCCCCTCGTCCTCAGCCGAGGGCTCTTCCAGGCTCCCCAGCGGGATCTCGATGAGGCCGGGCCGGGCCGCAGGCTCCTCGGGAGATGGGCCCTCCGCCAGGAGGATGGAGGAGCGCGTCTGCACAGGCACCTGGCTCGGGGAGAACTTCCGCAGGTGGGGGAGGCTGTCAACATCGTTGGGGGGGGTGAGCACCCTCGTCAGGGGCGCCAGCCGCAGCTCCACGGGCCGTGCGTGTTTTGGGCTGCGAGGCGTCGGGCTGGGGCCTGGCCCGGGGCTGCGCCGGGCAGCTGGGGCGCGCCGGGCAGGGCTCGGGGATGCCACTTTGGGGCCAGTCGTGGGGCCGGGGATGACCCATGCAGCAGGTGGCGGGGCGGGCGCAGGGGTCTCCTGGGGGGCCAGGAGCCGCTGCTGCTGGTCCGTGAGCCTCTGCATGTCCCGTTGCAGCGAGCTCAGCGCCGCACTCAGCTTGCTGACGGCGCGGTTGTAGTCCCCCAGCCCCTCCGGGGGCACCGGGCCGAGTTCAGGTGAGAAGGTCACCACCTTGGGCCGTGGGGATGGCTCGCCCTGGCCCTCGCCTGACGGTCGTTCCCCACCAGGGGCCAGACCAGTTTCCACCTCTGCCTCCACCTCCCCTCCAGCCTCCCGTGGCTGCACCTGCAGGAAAGCGCTCTTGCCCAGGCGCTGGCGGTGCTTGGCAAAGATGGCCTCAATCCGGCGCTTCTGAGCCTCTATGGCCCGCCGTTTCTCCTCCAGCCGGGCACCAAGCTCACTCATTTCCGAGCTCAGGGCCTCAGGGGCTGCCGGGACGGCCTCTGGGTACCCCACCCCGGCCTCAGTCTCAGCCTTTACCAGCTGCTTCTTGCGCTCGGCGAAGCTGGTCATCTTCACTTCAGAACTGTTGGCTGCTGGGGACAAAGCAACGGCCTTCGGGGACCCCTCAGATGGGGCCAGGGGCTTCGATACCTCCCCGGCTGGGCAGGAAGGTGGTTTCAAGGGGACCTCAGGGTGGGGCAAGTAGGTGGGTGCTTTGGTGGGCCCATCGGGCAGCGGTTTTGAGGCCCCCTCAGGTGGGTACGGGGAGGCCAGTGGCAGTTTGGAGGGCCCCTCAGGGGAGTGGAGGTAGAAGCTGCCGTCGGCAGCCCCGTCGGGCAGCAGCCGGGGCTCAGCACTGTGGATGATCTGCAGGGCCTCCTCAATGGTGGGCAGGTCACCAGGCTCCGGGGCTGGCTGGGCGGGGGTCCGGGCTGGTGCAGGGCGTGGAGGGCCCAGGCTGTCGGAGCTGACAGAGCGGAGGAGCACGGGGTCTCCCATGACGACGTCCACGTCGCTGTCCAGGCCAAAGGGAGTGCTGAACGACACAGCCTGGGAGAGGGGACGGCTGGGCGGCCGGAGGGAGGGGTCAGCCCCTGGGACACGCCTCGGCCCCCCGCCCCGGTCCAGCCTGCTCCCTGGCTGGGCCCGTGAGATGCACTCACCTGAGCTGCCGGTTCCAGGCCTTGCCGAGGGCCTCCATGTGCGACATTGATGGGGAGGACTTCAAGGAGCCTGGGGAGGAGTCACAGTGGTCACTCACGGCTCACCTTGGGGTCACTGGGGACTCTGGGGTGAGCCAGGGCATGTCACTGGGCGAGTCACTGATGGGTCATTATGTGGACAGAGGGCTGGAGCCATTCAGGGTCACGAAGGGGTCCTATTGAGCCACTGGGAGGGCACTGTGGGGGCCAGAGAATGCTGCCACTGAGGGGCCAGAGGGACCCAGCGGAGGGGTCAGCTGGGGTAGTCTTCTGTGGTCCCAGGTAGCGACCAGACATCACCCGCCTTCACCTGTAGATCCACGGAGTGGGGACTGGGGGCCACCAGGTGACAGGAGTGGATGGCGGAAGTTGAAGACAGGAGAGCTGCCAAGAGATGCACAGTGGCTACAGGACCCCTCCCCTGCCTCTCCCAGGGGTGGAGCAGTGTCCCCCAGCCCCACCCCGGCACCCCACGAGGAGGAGACGCCCATCCATTGGTGGAGACTCAGCCAACGGGAATCGTACCTGCTGCCGCTGCTGTTCTGGGGGGTGGAGGTCTCTGCGGCCCGGGGGGAGGCAGCTGCAGCACAGGGGAGAGTCAGGCAGGGTCTGGCCCTCACCCCCCACCCCTGCCCCAGGGCCCAGGCTGGGCCTCACCATGTCCGTCAGGCAGGTCCTTGGCCTGCACAAAGTCAGGTTTCAGCACCTCAAAGCACATGAACATCTCAGCGAGCAGCACCACCAGGTTGATCTGGAAGCGGAAGGCAGGGTCAGTCAACAGACGCCCACAGCACCGGACACCCGCCCAGGCCTCCGTGACCCTCAGGAGGCCTTACCTTAAGGGGCGGTGGGACATAAAGCAGGTCCTCAAGGGACAGCGGGCAGCCCCGGGGGAGGCGGGAAGCACAGAAGTCCTGCACCAGCTGGAGGTTGTACAGGCTGTCCGCCACAGACATGGGGTCCTTGAGACATATCTCTGCAAGGACAAAACGCCTGGGTTCCTGGCTCTGCGGGGTGGGGCAGAGCCCCGGGGAAGCCAGAACCAGCTGAGGGCCAGGGCTGCTGCTGGGTGCCCTTCACACGTGGGGACCGTCGCCAGCTGTTGCTCAGGCCTCTGCTATTCCCACTGCCTAGAGCATTAGTCCTCCAAGAACTGAACTCAAAAAGCGACTCTAACCAGTCGTCAAGGTGTCTAACATCCAGAAAGTTCTTGAAATTATTCCTCTTCCAACTAGAACGTGAGCCGCCCAAGGTCAGGGAAATGGCTACTATTCTCGCCCGGCCAGGCGCACAGTGTGCACTCTGTACGTGTCTGCGGCAAGAATGACTTCTATGAAGTGCAGAGAGGCTTAGCCACCTTGACGGTCACACAGCTGTCAGGAGGAGAGCGGTTCAATATGCCAGGGCATGCACGGCGTGGCACCACTCGGGCAAAGCTGGGTCTGCGGACACCTGGCTCCTGAGGATGGCGTCTGGCCCAGGCCCATTCACTCACCCTCAAGTCGCAACAACTGGGGACAGTAGCAGTGGATCGTGGTCGCCAGCGCGGCCCCACTTGCCAGGTCCTGGAGGCCAGTCACAGCCGGAAAGCAGGGGGCACGGCGGGCAACAGCGCGGTCCTTTCGGTACCGGATCTGTGGGTGGGAACCAAGTCAGGTCAGCGGTCGGGCTGCCTCCAGATCAGTGGTCATGCAGGCCCGGTCGGGATGCCTGGGGTTCCCATCAGGAGGGGGCGTGAAGCCGGGGGTCCCAGAGCCAGAGTGGGGGGCCAGCCTGGAGCAGGGGAAGGGCAGCAGCAAGAGGCAGTGGCGATGTCTGCGAGCAGCCAGGCCAGCAGCGGGGGCCGGGGGCAGGGACTCCTGGGACCCCAGGGTGGGGGATACATTACCATGGGGGGTTTGCTCCCCGACTCCTTCAAACAGAAGGCAATTGCGTGCTGGGGGGAGAGGAGCAGCCGTCAGCAGGGTGGGAGGGGTGCTGACTTGCTGGGCCCCCAAGCACACCTCCAGCGGAGAGGGAAGCCCTGAGCCCTGGCTGTCCAGCACCCTGACTGTGCTCTGGCCGGCTTTGGGGGCCCCAGCTCCTCCCAGCCCAGAGGGACCCCACAGCCTCCCATGCAAGGAATCCTCCCACAAAAGACCCAGCTTGGGGAGGGGATGTGGAAGCAGGCAGGCAGGCCAGAACCCCCCCAACCCAGGCCCCAGGGTGGAGAGGAGGCCCCAGAGTGAGCAAAGGTAGACCCCATCTAGCCCAAAGCCTCCCCAACTTGCAGAGGTCACTGTCCCCATTTTGTGCATCAAGGATGGGTGCCCCCCCCACCACAGCTGGGATTTGCCTTAGGGAAGCTGGGGTCTCAGAAAGGTCCTCTGACCATCTTCTGGACTTGAGAGTCCTTCTCCTGGTGTGTGTGGGGGGGCTCCTCCATGTATCCTGCCCAGGTGTCTCATGAACTCAGGTCTCCCCACCTGAGCTAAGGGCTGAGGGGATTCTGCCCCTCTTGACTAACAGCAGGGGAGGTTCATCCCCCGTCGGTTAACTGGGGAGGGGTCGCCCCTCTCATAACAGTGGAGATTCCCTCTCTGGGTTCACCCTGGGCCAGGTTGCACCTACTTTGCTCACAGCTGGGGAGGGGAAGAGAGAGCAGACAGGCAGGCGGAACAGACACAGACAGACAAAGCAACAAGCGGGCAGGCAGATGAGGCAGAGAGACAGCCCCACTTACAGGAACCAGCTTCCAGTACCAGCGTGTGGGGCACTGATGCCAGAGAGGCAGAGAGAGGAGCAGCGGGAGTGGGCACAGTGGGGAGGGCAGGCAGAGAGAGAGAGAGAGTCACTCCAGCCCCCCACCACGGTAACGGCCACCCGACCACCCCGCCCTCCGATTATCTGCCCCCCATCTGCCCACTGCCCTAGTCTCACCGAGGGCTGTACCGGGGCCACCCCATCTGCGGGCGCCGAGGGGGACGCTCTCTGGGCAGCTTCCTGCTCGGTCTTTTCCTGCAGCCGACGGATGGTCTGGGGGCAGGAAGAGCTCAGTTCCCTGGCACTGGGCCACCCAGGCCCCCAGCCCTTTCCTGCCCAACCCAACCTACCGTGTCCACCCAGAAGAGGAGCTTGTGCTCCAAGCTGGCCAGGGCCAAAGGACCGGGCAGCGTCTTTGTCCACTCAAAGGCGAAGGCAACCATGAGGGCGTCAATGACCGCCAAGTGAGCTCCCTGTGGGCCAAGGGCCGAAGGGTGAGGTCAGGGCTTGGGCGGAGGCTCCGGAGAGAGCGTTGGCGGTGGAGGGAGCTTGAGGTGGGGAGGGCCAGTGGCTGGGGCCTCAGGGAAGGTGTGGGGCCAGCGGCCTGGAAGAGCCACTTCTCCCGGGGACAGGGGAGATGCCCTGTTGTCAGGGGGGCAGCGTGCTGCCCTCTGGGATGAGCCAGTCCCATCAGGAAGAACTTTGAGACAGTGCCAGGCGGCCAGAAGAGAGGTGCTTGGGGGAGGTCAGGCCTGGTGGGCGGGGCCTGTGGCTGGGCGGGGCCTGTAGATGAGGCGGGGCCTGTGGGTGGGCGGGGCCTGCAGGTGGGGCGGTGTCTGTGGGGGCGTGGCCTGCAGATGGGGCGGGGCCTACCATGAGGATCGGCTGGTGCCGCAGGTCGGCCTCCTGCACCGGGCGCTCGGGCAGCGCGGGCACCGTGCCCCTCCGGGCCAGCAGGGCCAGCAGCGCGGAGGGACTGGGGGGTGTCTCGAGCTGCGGCAGGGCCTGCCGCCAGGCCCGGCAGTAGAGCTCGGCCGAGAGCAGCAGCCGCGTCACGGGGGGCTTCACATGCTCCTGCGCGTACTGGTCGGTGTAGAAGGGCTCCCACAGCTCCGAGGGCACGTGCTCTGGAAGGGCGGGGGCGGGGGTTGGTCAGGACCAGCGGGCCGCACCCCCACATGCACATACGATGACATGGCTCTGATTAAGGGGGGGTGTCTGGGCAAGGGAGGACGCCGAAGGCCCTGGGCTGAGACAGAGGGCAGGTGAGGAGTGGCCGGGAAGGGACGGGGGCTCCACGGGCAGGCTGCCCAGGGAACCTGGCAGCACCGGGGTGGAGGTGGCAAGCCTAGGACTTGCTGCTGCTCCCAGGACTGCAGGGCTGGATGCTTAGGGGGAGCGTCACCCAACCCCAGAGAAGGTCAGTGACAACATCATCACTTATCTGATCTCTCTGGGGCCTGAAGCCTCCCAATAGCCCCAGGAGGAGCGGCCTGCACAGCTGGCAATTGCACTTCACAGGTGAGGAAACCCAGGCACAGAAAGGAAAGTAACCAGCCCCGGGCCACACAGCTCAATGCTAGCGCTGAGATTGGAGGCCAGACCTGACTCTACCCTCCCCTGGGGCTGGAGGCGCTACGGAGTGGGGAGTGACGTGGGGGCTCCAGAGCAAGGGGCGGGCAAGGCGGACAGCTGCAGCCCCTCTGAGTGGCTGGGAGTGGTCAGAACTTGGGGAAAGGAGGAGGAAGATGGGGAAGAGGGTGGTAACCAATGGGGGTAGAGGAGAGGCAGCAGGTGAGGGGCAGCGGCTGAGCGTGGGGCCGGGGTTCAGGAGGACAGTGAGAGCCTGTCACGGAGGCAGCCATGAAAACCCAGAGTGAAAAGGAGCCGGGCAGGGGAAGAGGAGGCTTGAGGAAGCCCCATGTGGAAGGGGGGTGGCAGTGTCCCAGGTGGGACCAGAGGGCGGGAAGGAGAAAGAGCAGAATAAGCCACCAGAAGATAAGGTGGGGTCAAGGAAGAGGCGGCGGAGGCCAACATGGGGACCTACCCTCATAGGGGCCTTCCAAGGAGACCCCCACTCTATTCTAGTCAGAGCAATGGTTTTGTACATTGGGGTTTTGTGTACTTGAAAGAATGAAAGGGGCAGGAATTCTCTTCCTCAAAAACAGCCTTGCTCAGCTGTCCCTCCTGCCAGAGACATCCTGCCCTCACCCACAGGGGCCAGGCGTCCTGGCCTCGGTCCCTCCCTGCCCCCTCAGCTCTTCCCTCACACCCTAAACTATACCCACCTTCCCATTCACGCCCTGCCTGTGTCACCTGTGCCTCTCGGCTCTGCTCCTTGAAAGAAGAGCCCTCCAGGTCCCACTCCCTCCCAGCGCCCGCCAACCTCTCCCGCCTCCCCAGGCCAGCGGCGGCCATCCAGCACACATTGCAGGCCTGTATCTCGCCTGGGCTCAGCGCCCAGCACCTCCTCCTTCCGGAAGCCTCCCTACGGGCCTCCCAGTTTCCACTTCTCTGTCTCCCACCACTCAAGCCTGGCCTCCCCTGCACATGGCCCTCGACGCTGGGCTACTCATGACTCTGAGGGGCCCAGTGAACGGACACCCCCACACCAGGGTGGCTTCCATGCACACTAGCACTGCCACTCACTGGGCCCAGGCCATGCCCAAGCCTGTGGGCATCTGCTCCAAACTTGCTCCTTTTCTCTGGCCCCACCCCAGGGAGAAAGCACCTCTCCTTGCTCGCTCTCCAACATCCAATCTGTCCTGTGGCATCTCCCGACACTCCCCAAACCCTCCTCCCTATCTCCCCAGCCCCTGGTTATTTCCTGTTCCCATCAGCAAAATTAAGCAAGTTTCTTTCCTGCAGGAATCGTCAGGGCCTTCATGATAAAAAAAAAAACAAAAAACAAAACCTAGCTGGAGCTACAGAAGCAAGTATTAATCAAGCACTTCCTCCCCAGCGTCTCTTCCCCTTGGCATTGGCATCTGGGGCTGAATAATTCTTTGTGTTCAGCAGGGAGGGCGGCGGGACTGTCCTGGACATTGTAAGATGTTGAGCAGAATCCCTGGGCTCTACACACTCATGCCAACAGCACCCTCTTCCTAAACAGTGGCCACCAGCCACATCTGCAGACACTGCCCACTGTCTCCTAAGAGGCAACGCCGGTTGAGACCATCGCTCCGCCGCGGAGCGCCGAAGGGAGAGCAGAGCTGTCCAATGGAGACGGCGCGAGGCACATGGCTTTACACTTTCTAGCAGCCACACGAAAAGGAAGTAACCAGTGCACGAATGCAGTCCTTAGGCACCCAACATATATCCACGCAGCACTAGTGAGACAGCTCACACTCCCTCCCGGACCAGGCCTTGTATCCACGTGTTTCCCGTCTGCAGCACTGGGTACCCCCCAGCACCGCGGCTGTGGCTCCAGTACCAGCGCAGCCCCAACGCCTGGCTGGGCCTCTTCCCGCTGTGCCCCCTCATGCATTCGCCTTCCCTCATCCCCGCTGTACAGAAGAGAAAACCAAGGCCCAGGGAGCAGCGGCAACTTTTGCTCCAGACCTCACAGCTACGGGCCCAGCCGACAGGAGCCCCGACACCCTGGGCGGCACCGCGATATTCCTAAGGCAAAAGGGGCAGCACGTGGTGGTCCCCAAACTTGCCAGAGGATGGCCTCTGTGCAGCCCACCTGCATTCCCACCCCGCCTCCTCACACCCACACCCAGGAGTGCCAGGACCACCTCCTTCCCCGGGCACCACTGTGCCTCTGACCTCACCTGGGCAGTTCCAAACACCTTCCATGGGGCCCCACGGCCCTCAGTTCCCCACCTAAGGCCTGAGAGGCCCTTCGTTTTCCTAGGTCCCCTCATCTCCCACCTCCTCTGGCCACCACCATGCCTTCTCTGACAACACTGTCGGTCCACACCCCAGGCCTCTGGCCCTAGGGTTCCTCCCTTGGCAAACTCCTACATAGCCGTTGGGGTTCCAGCCCTCCCTTCTGTGGGGCCCTCCCGTGCCCCCCGCCTGGCCCACTGCACACCTTGGCATCACAGCCCTTGTCACTCCAGCAGCGAAGTCAGGCTCATGTCCCGCCCCTTTCCCCTGCCCACCCCCTCCTCCCCTCTCCATCGCGCCCCGCCCTGCCAGCGTTGGTGGGGTCCCAGAGTTCATGAATGATGCGGAGTTGGGTTCCCACTTCCCTTCTGGGGTCTGGTGTCCCACCCTCCTTAGCCCCCTTGTTTAAAGCAGGTGAGTGGGGACAGACTGAACTTGACCCTCAGGTAGCAGCAGTCACTGGAAGGTGACCCTGGCTGCGCAGGGTTGGCGAGAACAGGTGAGTCAGGGCTTCTCCGAGGCCCTCACTTTCCTATCTGTAAAATGGGACTATAATTTCAGGCCTGTCTCCTGGCCAGGGGATGACGAATAATATTAACATTATTAATAAAAAAGCAGCCACTGATCACAGCACAGCATGCAATAATGTGTGCCGGGCAGTTTGAGGGGTTCTGTAGCGAGTCTCTGTCTCCCACCTCCCAGAAGCCCATGAGGAAGGTGTTGGGTCCCCATCACCAGACAGTGTGCAATAGATAAATGAGCTGATGAATGAATACCTTACAGAGGGGGGAACACTAAAGCTTAAAGGATTGGGAATCAGTCCACATTCTGGTGCAGGTGGGGATCACACCAATTCCCACAGTCAAGCCCCTGTGTCCTCACGGCTTCAAAACCTGGGGTGCAAGAGGCTAGGGCACACTTGAGTCCCAGCCCCCTACTTTTCTCAAGCAGATCCACCGAGGTGTCCCCAGAGTGGGCTCAGCATAAAGGGAGAAAGAGACAGGCTCAGGCAGAACCAAGTGTGGACAACTGTCACAGGGACCCACACCCAGAACTGGTTGATCTGGGGGGAGGAGGGCATGTGCTGTGCCCAGTCGGTGCCAAACCACTGGGCTGGACCAGAGGGAAGCGAGACTCAGACCTTAATTAACCAGCTCTTCCCCGCAGCCAGGGCCTGGCTCCCAGCTCTCCCTGGGGCCCTGACTGGCCATGCCCAGGGCCTCCAATCCTGGGGACCCACCCGCACCCTCTCCCCTTGGGGTGGCCCGCCTTCTGGTCACATGTGGGCCAGGGGGGAAGTGGAGACTCTGCCTCCTTGGGGGAAGCCCGCACCTGGACCCCCGCCCGGGTGACCCGAGCCATTTGCCTGCTCCAGGGACCGCCCGCCTCCTGGGCAAAATGGGGCGACATGTCACAGCTGCCGGGCGCCGGCCGGGCCAGGGACGCGAAAGAGGGGTTCGCAGGGCTCCGGTCGTCGCCCGCAGCACAGGCAGAGCCACCCCGGGCGTGCGTCCGGCGGGGGGAGGGGTCCTCGCGGCGCGTGATGTGAGTGTGTAAGGGGGGAGGGCGTGCGGGGAGCGGGCCTGGGGGGCGGGAGGCGGCCCTCCGGGAACCCCGGCCGGTCCGCAGACCCGGCCCGCTCACCTGGGGGCGGGGCGGCCGGGTCCCGCCGCGGCGCCGGGCCGCCGGCCCCACCCCCACCGCGCGCCCGCAGCCGGGCGGCCAAAGTCCGCGGCCGGCCGAGCAGGAAGCCCGGAGGCCCGGCGCCGCGGAGACCCAGCCCGGGCTCGGGCGGCCGCGCCATTGTTCCCGCGGCCCGGCCTCCGGCCCGCGCCCCGCCCCCCGCACCTGCCGCCCCCCGCCCGGTACCTGCGCCCCCGAACGCGGCCCGCAGCACCCACGCCAGGCTGGCCGCCGCCTTGGCCCGCGAGAAGTCGTACTGGTCCAGCGACTTGATCTCCGGCACCAGGAAGGTTCTCCGCAGCGGCCCGGGCCCCGGGGGCGCCGCCTCCACCATGGCGGCACCGGGGCTGCGGTGCCGGCTCCGCGCTCGCTCCGCCTGGGCAGTGCCGCGCTCGTCCCCGGGCCGGGCCCGCCGCCGCCGAGCCAGGTGCGGCCGCTCGCGCTCGCGACGCAGCGTCGGGCCCGCCCCGGGGCGGAGCCCAGGTGCGCCCCGCCCGCCCGGCCCCGACCTGGGCCCGCGCCGCCCCGCCCGCCGGCCCCTCGCCCGGGCGGTCTCCGGGGGCGCGCGGGGCTGCGGCCACGGCTGCGAGGCTCTGCGCGGGGGTCGGTGCGCGCGCGCGTGTGTGTGTGCGCGCGCGCGTGTGTGTGCGCGCCTGTGTGTGTACGTGCGCGCGCGCGCGTGCTGGAGAGGATAAAGGACCCTCTGTCGAGGGATAATTGTGCTGGTCCAAGTGTGTCTCCTTAGGTGTGAGTGTGAACATCAGTGCCGGCTTGTCACTCCTGGCCGGGAGGCAGCGTGTGCGTGGGTGCACCTGTTCTGATTGTGCACTGCGTGCTACGAGAGTGCCTCTGAATTGTATCTGTGTAGGTGTCCCCAAATGTACTTGGGTGGTGACGAGTGTGCTTGAGCGTGTCTGCATGTGCATGTCTGGGTGTGAGCGCGACAGTGCACATATGCGTGTTTCTGTTTTTCATGTGTGTTGTATGTACAGGATCTGCTATACCATAGTTGTCTGTATCCTGAGGACATAGGAATGGTGAGTGAGTGTGTGTGTGTGTGTTTATCTGTGGGCTTGTGAGTGTGCGTATTTGTGAGCATCTAAAGGTGCTTCTGTTCGTGTGATCAATGCCATGAAGGCGTATGTGAGAAACCGAGCGTGGGTGTATTTTCAGGAGCATGACTGCTTGTATCTATGAGTGTGTTTGTGTGGTTGTTATTGGGTATATTTGCAAATTTCTGTGTGTGTATTGGGAGTATTTGTAGAATTTGTTGCAGGGAGGACTCTGTGTCGGTGTGGCTGTATTTGTGTCCAAGTTCATTTGTATATGAATATATGGGTGTAGTTGTGTGTATACATGGTGTAGTTGTGTGTATATGAGTATTTACATGTAGTTGTGTGTACACAGGTGTGTATAGGTGGGAGGCAGTTTCAGAATGTATTTTTGTGCATATGTGTGTATTTATATGAGTGATTTTTGTGGTGTCTGCATTTGAGTATAGGGTGTGAGCCTCGTGGGACAGTGTATGTCAACTGTGGAAGTGGATACAATTGTGTGAGAATGTCCATTTCTGTATGCATTTGTGCGAGTGTGCACATTTATCTAGTACGGCATATTTGTGTAGATATGTGTGTGGTACCGGTGATGGTGTGGTCAGTATGGAGCTATATTTGTGAATGTGTGCGTGAGTGTATATGTGTGTAAATGAATGGGGTTATCTGGGTTTCACTGGGTCTGTTCCCAAATGAACCCCTATTTGTGAGTCTTCATTTAATTTTTCTTTGTGTGCTTCAATTGTGTTTGTGTCAAAATATCTTCTGCGTGCCTCTCTGCTGTTTGTGATTGTGAATACACAAGTGTTTGTGTTTGTGAGTGTAGATTCTTGTGGTGCTGCACGCCCGAGCGTGTGCCTCTGGGAGGTGTGTGTGTGTACAATGTGTCCATGCAAGCTCAAGTCTGCATTTTATTTTGTGTCCATGTTGACATGTATCATTTTCTCTGTGTGTGTGTGTGTGTGTGTGTGTGTGTGTGTGAAGCCAGTCTTCGCATCCGTGTATATTCGTGGATCTGTATGTGAGCATGACTGGCAAGGTGCACGTGTCTAAGTGTGTCTCTGTGAGTTGAGTATATGGGTGTATCTCTCACGTGTGTGCAGTCACCGTGTCTGGCTGTGCCAGGCTGAGACTGTATGGCTGTGTGTGTAGTTGTGGATGTGTAAGCAGTTGTGCTTTGAATGGCTTGGGTGTGTGAGGGTATGTGTGTGCAGTAGGTGCACTTGTGTGCCATATGTGAGACCGGATGGGTGGCTTCTGTCTAAGATAAGTGTGCGTGTGACTTCACAGCTGGAGAGGGCCACAGTCTCCACACACACACGCAGATTTGTATTTTCGTGACTCTGTAAACTCTACGAGATGAAAATGCAGTTCCCGAGACCCCCGACCCAGGACGGTGCTCCCGGCCTCCCCTTTGTGGAAGTCTGCAGTCCCCTCAGTCTCCAGGGCCAGAGTGTGCGACTGGCAGGGGTGGGTGTGCCCAGGAACGGAACTGGGGTGTGGGCCCTCCTGCCTGGATGTGCCCATGCAGGAATGGGTGTGGGTACGCAGAGGGGCTGGGGTGCCTGCGTGGATGTGCCCGAGCACGTGTGGTGTGTGTGGGGCACGCGCCGGCTCCTGTCCCAGTACCCGGGAACGCCTGGCCACGGTCCCTTTCCCAGTGGGCCTTGGTTTCGCCATCTGTGACTCTGCCAGGGACGCGGGGCTCTGGGACCGGGGTGTGCCCTGGCAGGGAGGGGTGTGTGGTCATGCCTGCCCCTCCGGTAAGCGTGGCTCTTCTACCAGCTCACACGAGTGTTTGCTTTCCCTGGGGACGTTCCCACGACCTCTGCGGACCCTGAGGACGGTGGAGGTGAAGGCAGCGCCGCTGCTCACGGGCACACGCTCCCGGGACTGCACGGGCAGCGCTTACCTGGGAGGGGGCCGCACCCTCGGGGCCCTGGGCCAGAGGGCCTGGGGCTCCGGGCTGGGCCATGGTAGAGCAGGAGCTGGGAGCACTGCACCCCTCAGGCACCAGGGGCCTCCTGGGGCCCAGCCCCCATACCGGGCCAACTGGAACACCTGGCTGAGCCAGACCGCCCCACCCACGCTTGGCCGGCTGGAATTGAGGTCCCACCTGCCCCCGGGGCCCTTTTCCAGGGACCCAGGCAACTCCAGACACACTGGCTCCCCTGTGTGCCGAGGGGCCCCTCCCTGCAGGCCCCCTCCAGCCCTCCAGTCTCTGCCTCCCGCCTCCTCCCCTTACCTGGGGCCTCCTTTGGCTCTCACGCCTCCTAACTCATTAGCCAGGCCTGGTTATTAAGCTGAGGGTGGGGATGACTTAGAGGATTTGTAGGTCAAGGGTTCAATACTGGGTTTGGGGGAGTGTATGAACCACAAATAGCCATCCGCACAATTCTTCATGCATGTGCACTTCAGAGATCATGTTAGCAGGTAACAATCTGGGGAGGGCGTTCTCTGCCAAGCACAATTTCCTGTACCCCTCACAGCTGAGGCATAATGAGCATCATGCCCATTTTACTGATGGAAAGGTTGAGCCCAATCAACCTGAAGTCACATGGCAAGGAGGACAGTGGACGGAGGCTTTGGGTATAAGTCCCCAGGACCCAGGCCGCCGGCCGAACGGCAAAGCCCACCTTGCATTCTAAGATGGGGCTGCCTCCTCTAAACAGCCGTGACCCTCGAATGGAGTGGGTGAGGGTGTAGCTGTGGGGATGTTGGTGCAGAGGAAGGCTGGGGCCCTCGCTACCTCCTGAAAGCAGCAAGAATGGCAGGCAGGAGGCCTTGGCCCACACAGTCCCACGCTGGCCTCTCTGAGGTTTGGCGTCAGTACAGGAGATCATTATCAGAGTCCCAAGGGAGCTTGGGGACCTGTGTCTGAAATATTTCAAAATAATAAAAAAACCCCACTATTGTGCATGCCGAGGGCCGCTCCTTTCCTCATGACACTCGTGTTTACAGGCAACACACATACGTCAGAGAGGTCACTTCAGCAAGGAACAAAATATTTGGAGGTAACAAGACAAAGCAGGCTGGGGGCCGCTGTATCTGGGTGCTGGGGGAGGTGGGGTAGGAAAGGCATTTCAGGCAGAGAGAGGCGCCAGGCCTGGAGCAGGGGAGCTGGGGCTCAGGGAGGTTCTGGAGCGGGGTGCTGTGATGCTCACAGAGGGAAAGGCTGAGCTCTTGGAGGTGCTTCTCAGCGTCTTTCAGGGAAGAACCGCTTCCCCCCTCAATCCATGAGGTGCAGTGAAATTAGTTTCCAGGAAAATAAAACTTAGAAAGATGTCCATGGTGGCAGGATGCAATGAACACTGACAAGCCAGCAAGACCCCCCGTGATGGGGGTGTCGAAGGGTGAGAGCCACGGAGGAGCCCCCAGCGGCTCCCCTTGGAGCCATTTGAACAACCGTGTTAACATGGTTCTGGCGTGTAACCCAAGGAATAAAATACTGACTCACGAGTCCATGTGAATGCAGATGAGTGAATATACATGTTAACAAAGGAGCAGAGACACCCGATACGCAGAAGAATTCCAGACCTTGTGTGCAGAGACTCCTCCCTCGAGGAGAGCTGGAGCTGCCCGGGGGATTCCTTCCCCAAAGGACCCCAGGGAGAGAAGGGAAAAGGGACTCCACAGTGGAAGAAACCGAGGACTTGGCCCGGCCAGGCGAGCCCGGTCAGTGCCAGCAGCCACAGCGGCTGGTAGCACAGTCTTGGCACGCTGTGGCCACAGTGGCACTTTGCCTCCGTGACGTTCCTCCCCCAAGCCATCACCCCAGTCTAATCTTGAGGAAAATATCAGAAATTTCCAAGAGAGAGACATCCTGCAGGGGCCCTGGCCGACACTCCTCCAAACTGCCAAGGTCACGGACAAGGAAAATTCCAGAAACAGCCCCAGCCAAGAGGAGACTACGGGACACCTGAGGACTGAGCATGGCCTGGGGTGGTGGGCAGAAGAGGGCGGCTGGGGAAATGAGTGGGAGCAAAGCTTGGGCTTTAGTTAGGAAGAATGTGTCAGTGTCGATTCATTAATTGCAACAAATGTCTCCTGCGGAGGCCCACGTTACCCAGAGGGGAGCTCCTGTGTGCTCTGGCCAAGGGACCGGGAGGGAACTGTGCTGTCTGCTCAGTTCTGTAAATGTAAAACCGTCCTTTAAAAGCCTATTCATGAAAAAAAAAAGACTATAAAAGCCAAAGCCGAGTCATCATAAAATCGCTATGTCAAGTTACTGTGAAGTTTCTAACATGGACTGTTTTCTGTGCTCTCCTCCGGCCAGGCCATCAGGAGCCCGGAGCAGCCCCAGCGTGTGGGTCACTGAGTGACCCTAGAACAGGGGCCTGCACTGTGCACTGCAGCCCCCCTGCCCTCCAGATGCCGATCGTGAGAACCAAAACCGTCTCCAGGCACTGCCGCTGCCCCGAAGGCTGGACCACTC